TTAATTCTCACTAAGGCAGAGGAGCCTAAGAGCTCTTTAAGTGAAGCATGGAGCAGGAGTTTTGCAGTTTTCGAACTGCATGGGCTACCTGCTCTTGCTGGTTGCTGGAATAAAATTGGAATGGCAATTACAGCTATTTATGGCATTGACAAACATAAGGGAAGGGCTGCTGTGGATCAGACTTGCTTGGATGCATGACAGCAGCTGGAAATAAGGCAAAGCGTATACACGGGGTGAGCAAGCATCCCTGTGAGTGTTGGGAAAAGCTGTTATTTCCAAATCCAGCTGTTGTTTTTTTTGGTCCTGTCACTGGAAACATATTTAGCAATTAAAGCTAAAAGGAGCCTCGGCTGCTCCAGTATCTTTCACAAGGTGTAAACTGGCAAGGGAGACGTCTGAAAACCTGAAAATGAAACAAGGATTGGGAACCCAGGAAGCTGCCTCTTAATTTCTTGTACCACAGGATTATGATACTGTCTCATACCTCTCAGTTTGATTAGGACAGGCTTACAGAAGGAAGTGCAGGAAGCCGTTAGAAGTAGGACAGTTACTGGCATAAAACTGAACAGGGGGAAAAAGTCTTCAGGCAGTCAATCAAACTGGTAGATTCAGCTTTATCTCCAAAGGCTGCAAAGAGATTCAGCTAAATTAATGCCAAGTGGCTGAAATCAATAAGTGAATAAGCCTGTATTTCCCAGAGTGGGAGACTCAGGGCGGGGGGGGGGAAGATTTAGAGCAGGATTCGGATAGATTGGTCCTCTCGCATCCTCCCAAACACAAAGCAGACCCGAAATAAACACTAAAGCCCTGCAGTACCAAGGAAAAGAACCCAAAGGCGCAAGTTCCGAGGTGGTCGAGAACTGTTAAGAAAGCAGTGTCAGACTTGTGTAGGCGTTCTCGCCTGGAGGTAAAGGATCCTTCATTCACACAAGTCTTTTTGTGTCACTGTAGTCCTGTTTCTAGTCTTCTGGCATGGGCTTTGCCATTCTCTGCTTGGTTTCCATCTCCTGGTTCTGTGTTTTCTCCACTTTTAATTGTTCTTGACTCTTGTTTTCAGGTAGATGTGCATTTTGGCTGGTAGTTAAGCAAACTGGATGTCAGGTTTTTTCTGTTTTAACTTACCCACTGTCTTTCTGTGTGGCCTCAGAAGCTAGTTGTGACATGTTCTATGTCTCTGTTTGTTTACTCCCCTCTGAAATAAATAACACCTACTGGGCTGGGGAGTAATGAGGGATAATTAATTAATGCATGCAAGGAGTTCTGAGGTCCTTAACTAAGAGAAAGCTAAGGATCATTAGGTTAGTTAATTCTCTGCTTTGTTTTTCCTCCATTTCTTCTTGGTTTAGATCTCTCAGAATGTGAAATTAAGTGTGTCAGGACTTTTTTCAGCCTGTTGCTTTAACTCCTGTTGATGTCACTTTTCCTTTCAAGTGGAACTTTAAAACCAGTAAGGTAAATTACACATGATCCTAGAATGAGGAACTAACAAACCCATCTCTTTAATTTTTCATCCAGAAAATATTCTCGTTTTACACTCTGCTTCTCTTACTTAAAGGAACCATAAATCAGTGTGTTCCTTTGGTGTTGGCAGTCACAGGGAGAGATTTAGTGCTGCTGGCAGGCCCGGGTCTGAAACGGGCAACTGTCGAGGGCAGAGAGCTGTACAGAGCCACATTCCATTCACACACACATTTGCTTTACTTGGCTGTTGTCCAGATGATTTTTTGAGTCACTTGTGAGCACGAGGGAAATTGTGTGGGCAGAGGGGAGCGTTTTTCATCTCGTGGTCAGTCTGTCACCTCGACTCGCTTTTATTCACCTTTATTCTCCTGTCTGCAAAGATGGAGAAACACATCTGGGCATTTCAAAGAGCAGTGGGCATTCCTAAACCCTCCTTCTCAGCAAATACGCTGGCGTGTCACAGCCAAGGGCCTGCACCTCCCTGCTTGACGAAAGCAATTGTTTTGTCTCTTGGCCATGCAGAGCAAAAAGCCAAAAAGCATGGGTGTTGCCCAAGGTGTGTGTGATTCTGTTCTTCACTGCTGCAGAGTAAGCTTAGCCTCTTTCTGCTCTTTCCTCTCAAGTACACATTCCTCAAATCCTATGATAGCCGCGAGAGTGAATTCAGTGATGTCCATAGGTGCTTTGGGATGCACGTTGATACCCCGCGGTTGCCAAAGGGTCAGATCCCTTCCACATATGTACACGAAGCTAATTCTGCCTCTTCCCAGTTCATGCTTACTGTTGCTGTTTCCCCAAGTCTCTTGTCACTACAAGAAGAATTCCAGCTGCAAGATACAATTGGGAGTAGCTTCACCTGCAGTCACTGAACTCTGATACCTGGCTGTTGATGCTAAAAGCAGCTCTATCCTTTAGTGAGAGCAGCAGCAGGACTTGCTTGACAAGTCTGATAGCTTTTGGGCTCTGCCAGCTGTGGTGCTGGTGTCCACCTTTCTGATTTCTGCTCCTTTCAGGCAGAATCTGGACTCAAAAACTGGAGAGCACCTGCAGCCTAACAGGTGGGCGTTTCTTTCCTTAGCTATAGGGTACGAATTTCATCACTGGCTCTTGTACTTGAACTCTCTTGTCACCATCAGACTCCTTTGCATCAGTAGCTCCGGTCTAGCATAACTCTTCACCATATTTATTTATTCACGTAGGGATTCTAGTTCCTCTTGCAACTAACTGGCTCCTGCTATCGAGTTTGCTGACTCTATTAAGGTATGAACAGCCGCCAACACGAGATGCTCCTTTGCTCCAGGATACCTAGATCCTGGGAAAGGTAACGGATGGGCCGTGCTCCCAAGGAGCCCAGCCCAGCCTTGGAGGGACTGCAGGGAGCTGGCTGACTGCTTGTGCATGCAGTTTGGCTGACTGTGCTGAGGCAAGCTCCAGATTTCCACTTACAGTTTGCTTTTTTTTTTTTTTATTTTCAAATGTACATGCAAAAAAAACATTGGCACATCACAGCACTAGATCACAAGAAAGAAAGGGGTGGGTTTCAGTGGGTGAAGGTGGCTCTGGTATTTGGGAGAAACATCAATTGGCACATAGTTCACTGTAACATTCTCTTAAAACTTCATCTAAACTGAGACTGTCCCTAGTGCAAGAGCCTCTAAAAGTAATATACAGCTTTAGGAGTTTTTTCGTGTTCGTTTCTTAGGGGTGGGTGACCACACAACAAAGGTGGAAGTCTCCCAGCTGCAGCAGCTTGGTCTAGAACTTGTCTGTCTGGGCAAACATACGTCATAAATAGCTGTTTCTGCAAAAGGCTCCCCCTTCCCTCATAAAAAGAAATGTCAAAGTGTCTGTAAACTATGTACACAACTGCCTTCTGGGGAGAGGCATTGTCTGATACTGAGAGCAAAGGCAAGTCCCGCTACAGAACCTGGCACTGTAAACACAACGGGAAGTGACTGCACATCAGCACGTGTCACGTTCACACAGCTTTATTAAAGGTGAAGCAACGGTGGAGTGATCTTTGTAAGGGTTGTGGTTCCGCTACACGTCATTCTTTCTGTCAGTTCTCTGTAAGTAGTTGAGAAGGTGAAAAATTCCTGATAAAAAGCAGAATGTGTCAGGAGTGCATCTCCTTTCATCCCCAAATCCAGGATTTTTTAGTTCCTGGGAATCTTCCTCCATAACTGCAGGCAACAAAAATTAGCCATTTCTTTGGGTTTTTTTTCTTTTTCTTTTCTTTCTCCCCCCCCCCCTCATTTGAGAGGCTACACACCTTTAAAATCAGACTGACAAGCCTGTGGAGGCTTAGAGGTAAAACACCACATGCAGAAACATCAGTCAGCCAGGTTCTTGGGTTGCACTGCTAGACTCACAACTCTGGAGATGCAAGATTTAAAAATAAGTCATTATTTCCTTTTGGAGTTGTCTGCCAGTTGTTCAGTTCAAATAGACAAGGGAAGGTTAGTTCTGGAGGACCGTATTCCTTCAGCTGGCATGCTGTAAGCAGGCTCATGGGAAAACCTGACCTTTCCAGGAATACCGGCTATCCTTCACGTATATAAAGAACAAAATCCCAGACTTGGGTCCTAGGCAGGAGAATAAAGAATTTCCCTTTGGTAATAATTCAGACTTCCATTCTCTGCTCTCTCTTTCTTGCCCTTTTTTGTGGGTACACACATTGGTGCCCACCTGCTTCTCCTAACTCGCCTGCCTCATGGCATGATGATGGACGGAGAAAATGGATTATTCCCTTCTATCCACAGCGGAGACATGCTTTTCTTTTGGCCGAGTCCTGATGTCACCCCTGGGTTGCCCTCGAAGTGAAAACCAAACGTAGCCTCTGGAAGTTAAGTGACTTGGCAGGGGAACATGCCAGAGGATTAATATTCCGTTCTTTCTTGTAGCAGATAGAGAGCATAGTCGTTTCAATCAGGGGCCAAACTGCTGTGTGTTTCTGAAATGTCAAACGTTAAAAAACTGGGCCAACTGATCGACAACCACACAGAAAATCTCTGAAGCAGCAGTGGCATCCCTTAGAGATGCCTCAGGACCTTGGCTTTTACTGTGGAAAATTAATCTTGTCCCATGAAGTCTGCATCCAGATTGGGAAATGAGGCAAAACAGCACAGCGAGCAGCTCAGCTGCAACCAAGACTTAAATAAACTGAGTTCTTGTGGGAAGGGCATCTCCTACTTCTAGGGACAGCTCTGGTTAGCTCGGCCAGTCTTTGTTTGCAGGACATAATGCTCAAAAGCTTAAACACTGGACAAACTGCTAAAGTTACAGCTAAACAACATCATACCATCGATCTACTCGTGGCTAGAAAAAAGGAGAGAGGTGATCGAAAGTCCTTCAGGCTGTGAAAGGTCTCCATGAATTAGTGCTTATATGTGTGGCGGACCGAGTTGCCTCCTCCGTTGTGCAGTGCTCAAGGAATGTCTCTGAAGGTCTCAGTCTTGTTTCTTCTCCCTCACCCCCGTTCTGAATTTGAAGCAGCATCCATCCGAGATACTCGTGAAGAGTTGGGAGCTTTTCTATGGTCAGGACGTGAAGTAGGAGCTCTGCATGGAGTAGAGTCGGTCAATGGGGTTGCCCACGCGGGCTTGGAGGAGGTTGGCTTCGGCCGTTGACAGCAGGCAGTCTCCCAGGTGGCTGATGCTGTCACTGTCCATATCGTGAAAAACTCCCTCTGAGTCTAGAAGAGGAAGGAAAAGGGAATGGGTGTGAATGTGGCGGGAGTGTGTCTCGTGGGGAGCTGCATGCAGCACGGAGAAAGGGTGGCAGCAGGACCACGTTACACCTGGAGCAATGGTCAGCAGGGCTGGTAGGAGGTGAGCCCCCCCCCCCAGGACCAGCTTTAGGGGTAACTCTTTCCTCCCTCACCCAAATATTTCACACTGGATGGAGGGAAGACCCCCAGCCTCGCTCCCTGGTCCCTAGCAGAGCTCAGCCTGAGGCTCTGCCCTCACCAAACTTCTGAGAAAGGCTCAGCACAAAGCCCAAGCCCCGTGGAGCGCTCGCTGCCACTGGCTTCTTCAGCAGTCGCGGCGGAGTTGGCTTTTCGTGGCTTGGACTGCTACGTGCAGCTCTGATGCAGAGACGGGACAATCTCCACGCCATTCTCCTACCGTAGGGGTGCAGATGGTCTCCTGGCAGCTGGGGCGGCGTCAGCCCTTGTCTGTACAAATCCGTGCTGTAGCCGTTCTGATCCAAGGGCAGCAGCTGCTGCTGGGGGATCCTGGGGTAGGGGACCATGAGCCCATCCAGGCCGTGAACGCTCGCGCCGTCTAAAGACATAACCAGCGGGACGGGTTGAAGCAAAGGGTGCGCAGCATGTGGTGGGGCAGAGCACTGTCGCGAAAACGTTATTTACATTGCTGCAGCGGTATTTGGTGGCCTAACTCTGGACCCGCAACCACACGGTACTCGGCTCTGTGCGTACGTGCACAGGAAAAAAACCCGTTGTCTTCTCAAAAAGAGGAGATACGTGCTGTGTCACGGGTACCCACGAGTCTTGCTGAACGTCACCTAGTTATTCCAGCTTGTACATAGCAATTCAGTTACAATCTGCGTGCTTTTTGCTAATCTCTTCCTGTGTGCGTTCTCTCTCAAATACATCCAAGTCAATCCCCTCCATCCCAGCCTGCAGCCCCCAGAGCTGTCACCGTGCGCGGCGGCTCCTCACCTTCGCTATCATCGTTGCTCTGCCTGCTGTTGCGACCGGTCCCTCTCCCCGTCCCTAAGCGAGGGTTGCCCAACTGGTCTTGCTCCTGCTGTTGCTGCTGCTGTTGTTGTTGCCTGCGAGCGATCTTCTTCATCTGCAAGGAGACAGAGACCCCGGATTTGAGGTTCTGACTGAGAGGGGAGGGGGTTGCGTTTAACACAGCAGTGGACAACTGCCGCCTGCCTTTCACGGAGACCGAGCGCTGCCATGATACAACCCTGCTCGGACTCCACTGGGTGACTCCTCTGCAGTCAATGTTCTCTGCAGTCGTCCCCATGTGAGAAACGGGGCTGACAGAAAAGGCTGTATTATCTTTGTGGGAGATGCCATTTGCAGTTTAAAAACCAAAGGGCTTTGTTTTACTATAAAGCGAGGTTTTCAAAGCCACGTGTTTTCCGTTTTCACCCTTTAAATTCTGCAAAATTAGAAATGCTTCAACTTCTAGAAGAAAGAAGCAGGAAATCCTTCTAGTCTTTCTATAGTGAGGGGTAAAAAGCAAGTAGAAAAAGAGTAATCAAAAAAAACCCCAATGTGAAAAATGCTAAGCCCTGCAAACACCTATAATTAATCGATTTTTGTATTTCTCTTCAAGCTTTTGCTACTACCAGAAACATGTTGTAGGACTAGGTGGACCTGTGGTTTGGTCCTGCATAGCTGTTCTTCTGTTCTTCTAACTGTTTTTTCTTTTTCTAGGCTATTCTACGTTTCCTTTTAATTGAACGAGCGTGTGTGCTATCCCACCGGTATGCAGAACCCAGCTGTGGCACGGGAACCGCCACTCACCTTGGCTCTTTGGTTCTGGAACCAGACCTGTACCACCCGCACAGTCAAGCCCGTCTCAGCTGCCAGGGTCTCTCTCACCTGCCCACAAAACCCAGAGAGCTGAATCAGAACTTAAGTTGCACTTAAAGGATCCCAGCCAGCAGTAGTACTGAGTGGCCTCCTTATACCTTTCTGCAAGGCTTTGAGGAAACCTCAAACGAAGCCTTGAACGCCCGTCGCTGCTGCGTGGTAAGGATGGTGCGTGGGCGCTTGGAGCGCTTGTGGTCTTTGCTCTCCTCACTGCCTTTGCTGTGCGAGTGGCTGCCGTCTTCGTCCTCGCTTTTCACTGCAACGCAAGATCAGTGGCGGTGATTCAGCAGAGAGTGGCCTTTCCGGACCATCTCCCAGAGGAAGGATTCAGAGAAACTTGTCAGAGTTTTGCCCCTTTCAAGGTGCGATTTAGAGCAGAAGCACAGAGTGAAGCCAGGAAAGCTCACGGACTGAGCTGTGGCTCAGGGGAACACTGTCAATTCAGAGACGGTGCTGATGGGCCAGCCTGGCCCCGTATTGTCCATTCCGTAATGTCTCAGATCTGCCCACCCAAACCTCTCCAGATCAGCCGAGTAGATCTCGACAGCCTGGTACACCCTTGGCTGCCTATCACCAAGGGGAAAAGATGCTGCAACCTCCTCCTACCTACACCTCCTCCCTCTGGAGCTTTCCCCACAGTTAATTAGGGACTAAGCGGTACCTGCCCTCTACGAGGTTCACCCTGCTTCCCCACCCTCAGCACGGTCCCAGCCCCAGCCCCTCACCGGACTCGGTGGGTGCCGGGCTGATAGCGCTCAGCATCTCCTTCTCCTTCTCATAGTCACTGCGGCACAGCAGCTGTCCTTCCTTGAGCACAAACTCGTCTCCCCGCTGCAGGCGCCGCTCGCACTCGCAACAGTAGAAGCAGTGAACGTGGTAGACGTTCTCCAGCACCCGCATGATGAGCTCGGAGGGGGCGATCGCCTTCAAGCAGCTGCTGCACTTGGTCTGGAACAACCTGCAAAGAAGGTCCCAGCGGTTAGACACTTGGGCAGGGAAGATCAGCCCTGGGCTGAGGCCCAGGAAGCCAAGGGAAGAAGGGGGATGGATGTTTGGAGCTGTGCTAGCACATCCCAGCAAGAAGCGTACATCCCAGCTGGGTTTTGGGACTTTCTGACCTTCCATAGCCCCAGGGAGGAACACGAACTTGCCTGGCCCAACAGGACAGAGCTCTGTGTCTCCTCTTCCTCTCTAGGGCTGTTCACTGCCTGGCTTTGTTAGGTTGCTCCTAGCGAGAGGACTTTATGGACCCCTCCAGGACTGTCCCCAGGGCCTGGAGGAGCCTTACGAGAGGGAGTCCCACGGGGGAGGCTGTTTGTGCCCCACACCATGTCCAGAGAGAGAAATAAACAACTGCTGAGCACCCCACGTACAGAGCAGATGGTTCTGATGAAGTAATTTGGGATCTAAACAAATGTGAGCGGTGGTGGCTGCCGGCTGACAGCTTCTATTTAGCCACTTGACAAGAGAAAGTAATAAAATAGGGATTAATTAGGCTGTTGTTTAAACACACAGGATCTTCCCCACCAGCAGGGAACTCATAAACTGGGATTGAGAACAAGACTGGGTTAATCCTCCTGGCAAACTCTGTGGAGCAGGATGAAGAGGCTTACAGGGGTGGGCTCATCCCTTCCAAATACCACCATGGATTTGTGCTGTGCGGTGGCTTTCGGCTGAAGTGTCTGGGACATTCCAACTGGAATGGTGTGGGATTTCTCTCTCCTTTGTGTGAGTGTGTTTGCATGCATGTTCCTCTCTCCCTCCCTGTCTCTCTTTCTCTCCCCTCTTCCTCTTTGTCTTTCTGTAATTCACACTTGAAAAATAATAATCGAATTTTAGTTGGAAAAGCTGGGAGTGAAGAGTAGCCTTTTAACCAGAACCTCTCACTGTCTTAACAAAGGAGCAAACTGAGCGTGTTCTAGGCACAATCCCAGTCCGAATCTGGGCTGAGTCCAAATCTGTCCCTTTCTAACACCAACATCCTTCTGTTACAGCAGAAGTGAAATAGTAAAAGAATAAAAAAGAACCAACAGCAGAGCCAGTCCAAGATCACGGCGATCTGCAATCCATCAGGAACATATGACATATTACTAAACATTAAGTTATTAATGTTCCTGGACTTTAAGCCCAGCCGGAAGATAATGGTGATGTAGTCTGACCCCACGTTCATTGCAACCCAGAGAATCTTGCCCAGGAATTCCCACCTGTTTGCTGGTGCTGGATGTACAGCGAAGGCCAGCCAGTTGCAGTCTGGAGGCTCCAGGTGAAGGAGGATCTGTCTGTATCCATTCGGAAGAGGTTCCAGAGGCTAACTAGCTCCTCATTCCTTTCTTCCAATTTGAATCTTACTTTATTCCATGCTCAGCAACTAAACTTTGTCATGTCTTTATCTTCTTGAGAACCAGTTAGGAGTAGTTACGCCAATTCAGGTAATCAAACTATTCTTTCCAGGTTTCTGTCCCTTATAATTTAAACAACTCGTTTAAAAGTGAGTACCGACTTTTTTTTGCACCTTGGCTGGGAGAATTACTGTCCCCAAAGAAAGATCTGCCTGGCTTCGCTATATGCTGTCGTGTAGCTGAATCTAGTGACACAAATATAATTTGACTTGGAGACAAGCTAGTCCCAAGCTCCCATCTGGTCTTGCCGTTTCTTTCAGAGACCGGTTTTCTCCTGTAACACACCCCGGCCAAGCTGGTTCCACCCCCGAGCCCCAAATCCAGGGGCAGACACATTAGAACATAGACCTGACAAACAGAAGCTTTACTTCAATATCCTGACCTGACTCCCATTGTGGAACAGGATAGTTTAGGAAAACCCTGATGGAAAACTCCCTATCTTGTTTCACACTTGTGTTTTCTTCATTATTTTTATCCATATAGATACTGGAGCATTCCCTGGGTCCTTTTATATTTCTAACCTCAGTGATATCACTGGTTGCTTGAGGAAAACATCCAGAATATTGCTTAGCCAAGGCAGGTAGAGGAAAGCTTTGAGCGTGATGTGCTTCTAACTGCGGGCAGGCTGATAGCGAGAGGGATGGAGCAGAAAAAGGAAACGTGGAAACAGATGTCAGAGCTGGGAAAGGAGACCTATTCACCTGCAAGGCACCGAGCCGATTCCTCCCGCTGCTGTTGGGACGAGGCAGTTAGCAAGCCTTATTTAAAGATGCTGTCATGTGCCAGATTTCCATGAAAAGGGCTTTTTTGCAGCTATCAGGTGAGGGAAGCGCTGTTGCTGCAGTGTAACTCAATAATGCTTTTGGCATCGCAAGGCCCGCACCCTCCCATCTCCCAGCTAAGCCCCGAAAACAAATCCGCTCTGCTTTGTACTAATTGAAGAAAACATTCAGCAAGCAGCTCATAAACACGGTGTCAGCTCGCATTACACAAAATTAAAATTCTCAGCCCCTCCAACACCAAGAATTCCTAAAGAGGCTGGTTTTAATATTGCCTGAATCCGTTTAAGTCAAGGTAATATTGTTTGGGTTGCCATAGGAACAAAATACATCTCCGTTGCTGGCAGTGGGTTACAAGGAGGCTTGGGAGCCTGAGCTGCGGACGCGGCTACACCATGTCTAGAAGTGGCTGCCTGCAGAAACTACGCTGAGGGACGGTCCGAAAAATAAGCGGGTTCCCAGGTTCATAATGAAAAGTGCATTTAGAAACTGCAGTGACACGAGCGAGATCTCTGCGTGCTCCCAGAGAAGAGAAGAGCCTTGGTGGCAGCATCAGGACCATTTCTAAGTGCCTGTAACTCATGACAACTATATCCCACATTTTTTTGGAAAGACCCTTATGCTGCCTAAGCCTCCTAGTCCACGTGCCTCCACTTGTATTTTGACCAAGTCTCCCCATGTCCTTACCCAGCGCCCTTGTCTCCCCAGAATCCCAGCTGAGTTTGATTTCTGGTTAAGATTTCCCTACGGGAGGTGTGTTAAGGCTATCAGCTTTTATTCCTGGGAATGTTCAGAAACCATCCAGCAAGCAGAGGCAGGTGCATTCACACAGGTACATATCCCACGTCCTTCTTACCAGCTTGCCTCAAATTAATTGCCTTTGCAAATGATGGAATTTGATTTGCCTGCCAGGGGAGGGCTCACCTTGATGGAGAAAGTGTCAGTAGCAGGAGGGCAGATGGGCTTATAAGTGGGAACGTCTTTGGGAATTGCAAAGAAGGCAGCTCTGGAGCAAGCAGAACGGTTACTCACAAGTCAGCATGGTGAGAGAGGCTTGGGGCTACAGGGACCATTTTTGGCAGCCAGTTCTTCATGCTGACGGACACTCAAGGCAAGAGAAGCGGCGTTGTGGGCAGAAGAACTGATAGAGGGCAAGTGCATCTGTACCATTTGCCAACTCGGAGACAGCACGCGTCACCCGAGCGAGGATGAAGATACGCAGTATCTTAAGAGAGCTTTGATGCTGGGCTGGAGGCCAAATTCTCCGGCTGCCCACACTCTTCCTGCTGGGAGGTATTTGAGGCCAGCTCTGGGGCCGCACCGCTGGCACATCTGCAGAAAAGGCTGAGCTATAGAAAGAAGCATGGGCAGCAGTGCCCCGAAAGTCCCAACGCTATTTCTCTATTTCTCTTTTATGCCTGGACACTAGGGTAATGCCCAACATCTTGATGCTTGCTGAAATCTTGGTCCCTGTAGCAAGGAGTTATATCCTCGGTGAAAAACAATTCCTTTATTTGATACCCTCACCCTACTTACAGCTCGACTGTCTCTTTTTTGCCATTAACAATTTTCTTTTCTTTTAATAACAAAGCAGTCGGGGAGGGCCCAGCATGTGATTAATTTCCGCCCAAGAAGTTCAGTAAAGTTTCAAAGTGTGGAACAGCAGGAAGAGGCATCACAGCAAAGCGACCATGTGCATCTGCCCGTCTTTTGCACACAGCTGAGGAGCTCTGAGATCTTTCTACATCTTTTCAGGCATTTTGTGGACTTCATTTATCAGACTTTAGTACTGGTAAAACACCCCAACGCCTAACTCCCTGTTAATCCTTGCAGAGCACCCCTTGTCGCTGCCGATGGCTCTGGAGGAGAAGCGTCAGCCCAGCTCCCGGCTCTTCGGATGGGGATGAGCTGAGCAGCAAGTTATTTGAGAACCTCTCTGACCCATCATGGCACAGAGAAGATGCTGACCCAGGCCTGGGAAGGGTAATTTGGGGGGCATATGATTGTCTCGATGGGATTAAAAGGTGTTAATGAAGCAAGGAATAAGCTGCGAGGCCTGTGCTTCATGGAACGAGCTTATTTAGTTAGGGTTTAGTCAAAATGAAGCAGTCCAGGCTTAAGCAAGGTCTGTTTACTTAACATTGAGCTGCAAAATCCATTGTAGCCGTCTGAAATATTGAAGTGGAACTTGCAAAGCCTCTTTCCAGATTTCGGGCTGGGGGCTAAGGGCGTGATGGGGAAGGGGACGCACAAGGGAAACGAGGAGGCAGCGCCAGCACAATATGCTCTTTCATTCCCTACTGCAACAGCCATTTCCCCCAATTCAGCGATACAGAGTGGCACCAGGGGATTAAGGGGAAAAAAATTTCCTTCTGCTTAGTTTCTGACTTCTTCCAGCACCGTTTGGGTCAGAGAGAGAAGGAGTAATTCGGGGGCAACAGTTACCTTTGCTCTCCGTTCCCTGCAAAGCCCTTTGCGGCTTATGTGAATAGATTTACCCCCAGAAAGGAACTTTGTAATTGTGTAATTATGTTATTGTGCCTCTTGTCAGAAATGGCCAAGACTCAAACATACTCAAACCTCCTCTAATGTGAGCATGTACACCAGAAAAGAAGTCTTCCGAAATGAAAGCTTACCAAAGCCAAACTGCATGCAAAGTTCACCCCCGAGGAGCGGAAAAAACAAATTTAAAATAACAGGTGTTAGTCATCTCACTTAAATGTTTCATTAAAAGGCAGAAGGATGGGGTAGGAGTCGAAGAGCCACCGTGGCACTATTGC